ACTTCAAAAAATGCCAATAACACTATTTGTTTTGCTACCACCATTGGTAGTAGGAATCAATTTTCCCCTCTTATTCGAAGTAACAAATATCCCTCTTGAATATCACAAGCCAATTTTTTTCAAATAAAAAGTCCATCGTACAAACAACATCACTACAATAAATAAATAACTAAGTAAAAATTGAAAAAATATATAATACAAATTATAACTAAAAGTTGGCTCAAGTCCATATATGGTTCATGTTTAATCCGGACAACAAAAATTTATGTCTTTTTGTAGACAAGAGGAACATGGTTTGTGAGTAAAATTTTCCAACTAGTTGCTTTTGATTGTGTGCTCCATGTTCTCTTAGGTATGATGGTCGAGTTTTCACACCAAGATGGGACTCTTAGAAGCAAACCTATCCCATAGCTTTCCTCACATTACAAAAGAAAAACAAAATCAATCTAGCCTTAAAATAGCGTCCCACACATACAACATGTTCAAAGCACTAAACAACCCTAAATAAAAACCTAGAATAGCGCTCTAAGCTATCTTAAAAAAAAAATTGAAAAACTTAATGAAAAATTTGACGGAAGTATGGTTGGAAGAATTCCCACCATTTTTCTTTTTTATGTTCCGGAATTCCCATATTTCTATATATTTTTTAAAGAATGAGCTAAAATAATTAAAATATGTATAGTTTGTGATTTTTCAGAATATGAAGTCATATTCTATATCAAGAAGAAAAAAATTTAAAAAAGAAAATTTGTAGCAAGAGATTATGTTTAATGACTAAGAGTGTTTTACTTTAGATACTTACTCTTGTTTGGATTTTAGTCTCGCTTAATCATGCAGAGCCTTCATTAACAACTTATATAATTCTAGAAAAAATCTATGAATTCTTTTTTTATTTTTTTCAATTTTGGACTCGTTTAGAAACTTATAAAAAAGCAAGACTCAATTTTATAGAAATTATACAACAACAAAAAATTAAAGATTCTATTTATAAAAAAGATAAAAATAGTACAAAAATATCTAAAAGTTAGTCATAAGAAAAAAAAATGGCAACTATATAGTTAGCCTATTGTGAAAGAATGTATAATCGTTCTAATTATAATAATTATTAAACATTTTAACACAAAAAGAATAATATTCATATTTATTTTTGTATCCGAAGCTTTAATTTTAGTAATGCCTCCACTCTTGACTTGATAAATCTATTATTTTTTAATATATTATCTTCTAACAAAAAATACCAAATAGAAAGGAATAGTAAAACCATATGGAATAATGGACATCAATTGCTTATTTAGAGATTTTTTGGTTATCTTATTTCGATTTATCATAGCCCGCAACTCGTGAAAAAAGAAATGTTATCTTCAAACTAATCCAATAAAAGGGAGAATGGATAAATGAGCATAGATCAATATTAAGACTATCCAAAATCAAAAAAAGAATTCAACAAATAAAGAAAGGAAAACTCCAAAAATAAAAATCCATGTTTTAAAAGTGAGAATTTAAAACTTCTATTATGCAAATAACTAAAATATATTTCTAATTCAAGTGGTAATTTGAAGTAAACATTTAATATAACATCAACCATTTTAAAATATTAACCAATGACACATTTCATTTACTCTTTGAGTTTAATAATATTATTTATTTTGCTATTACCACCATTAGAAGCAAAACAATCGATTTCAATATTCTATGGCTTAATGTTCTACAAAATCATGAACTATATACTTTTTAATGATTTTAGCTTGTTCTCCAAAAATTATATAGAAAGATCACTAATTAAGTCTCCGATAATAATACTAGCACGAGATATTATTTTGCGATCAAAATTTTGAGCAATGCTAACATACCAATTCATATAAGCATGACATGTGGACTCTAACAAGCCACATATTATCATAAGTAGTGACATGAAAAATCAATTACATAAATCCTATATGACATGCTAAAGTTCTCATGTCATGCTTACATGGATTCTACATGGCTTGCTAAAGTACATGTGTCATGCTTCGTTACTAGCCATGTCGGGGTTGCTCGTAATTTAGGTCAAAAAATCAAATCGGTGCTAATATTGTTATCAAAGGCTTAGTTTGTATCCTTTCTATATAATTTTTAAAGAACGAGTTAAAATTATTAAAATATGTATAGTTTGTGATTTTTCAGAATATTAAGTCATATTCTATATCAAGAAGAAAAAAAAAGAAGATTAAAGTTGTGAATGCTCAAGCTAAAAGAAAAGGAGTTGTTAGTGTCCCTTAACCGCTCGAGCTAAAGGAGAAAAAGTTGTTGGCTTCTCTTAATCGCTCGAGATAAAGGTGATATCGCATCATCGTTTCCCTCATTTCTCAATTTTTAGGTTTTCTTCTTTGAATATTATGGAAGATATTCAATAAAAAGGTGAAAACTTAAAGAATTGAGAAATTAAACTAAAAGCTTTTAGCTTAAAAAAATGAATCGATATACTTATGTTTTTTCTTGACATTTTCCCAGTATAATTACAATGACTCAACATTAACCATGCATATAAGTCTAGGAATTTTTTTTTGAAGTTCTCTTTCAATTTCAACTTTGTTGAGAGTCTATTGCAATAATAATAAAAATAATAATAAAATAAAGAGTTAATTTAGTTAAAATTATACAAAGATTCTATGTATAGAAAGGAAAAATATAGTAAAAAAAAAAAATTGAAAGTTAGCTATAAGAAAAAGAAAATGGAAGTAAGTACTTACCTTATTGCAAAAATAAGAATACGTGTACTCTTTATAATGAGTATATACCGAAATACAAAAATGAATAATGTCCATCTCTAATTTGTATCCACAAACAACATGAGAAGGTGATAAAGCCTCTAGACTCTATGATCCATTCCCTGGTTTACTTAATCATTTTGCCTTGTCATATATACTTTCAAATATACTCGCCTTTGGCCAAAAATGTCAACCGGTTTGGAGCATTAGGAGTGCACCGAATAGCTCTCGTAAATCCTTTTCTAGATATTTTTTTTTATTTCATTTCTTGGTTAATTAGGTCCCACGACTTATGAAGAAAATCTACTCTCTCCAAAATAGTCCAATAAAAGGAAGTGTGGATAAAAAAGCATAGATCAATCAATATTAAGGTTGCCCAAAATCAAATAAAGAATTCAACAAATGAAAAAAGAGAAAAACACTTCAAAATTGAAAATGCATATCTTAAATAAAGAACTTACGAACTTTCATGATGTAAATATTCTAAATACAATATCAAATCGAGTCGTAATTAGAAATGAACATTCGATACAACATCAACCATGTCAAAAGGCAAGCCCATGATGCGTTGCATCCGTTCTTTCAGCTCAATAACATTATTTGTTTTGTTGCTACCATTGGAAGTAGGAATCAATTTTCCCCTCTTGTTTGAAGTAACAAATATCCCTCTTGAATATCACGAAGCCAATTTTTTTCAAATAGAAACTCCATTACACAAACAACATCACTAAAAATAAAAAAAAATAATTAAGTAAAAATTGAAAAAATATATAATACAAAATTATAACTAAAAGTTGGCTTAAGTCCACATGTGGTTCATGTTTGATCCAAATAACAAAAATTTATGTCTTTTTTGTAGACAAGAGGAACATGGTTTGTGAGTAAAATTTTTCAACTAGTTGCTTTTGATTGTGTGCTCCATGTTCTCTTAGGTATGATGGTTAGGTTTTTACACTAAGATGGGACTCCTAGAAGCAAACCTATCCCATAGCTTTTCTCACATTATAGAAGAAAAACAAAATCAATAGAGCCTTAAAATAGCACTGCCACACATACAACATGTTCAAAGCACTAAACGACCCTAAATCAAGACCTAGAATGGCCCTCTAAGCTATCATAAAAAAAATTGAAAAACTTATTGAAAATTTTTACGAAGGAAGTATGGTTGGAAAAATTCCTACCATTTTTTGTTTTTATCTTCCATGAACAAATCACTCACCGGATTATTTTTAAAGTCATGGCGAGTAAAGCATGAAAAAATGTTCTAACCGTTTTAATTCCTCAACTACTCGTCAATGTAGCTTTAGTTTAATCTTTAATTAGATGATTGACAAGCAAAATGTTTGGGTGTTGCGGTCTCAAGGATAACAAAACGCGAAATGTGAATGAAACTATGTCAATGTCTTTTCCCAATAAAGGGATAAAAGACACATTCAAAGAGCAAGCATGATTGGTCATGATGCCTTGATATAATTCAATCCCGCAATCCTTGTTGACAAGAAAGTTCAAATGGGGAGAAATCTGCAAACAAGAAAAACAATTGTTAGTACAATTTAAATAATTCTAAAAATACTAAAATGGAATAGCTATATTCCAAATCTATCAAACCATAAATCATGTCCGACAAAAGCATTTATAGCTACAAGTATGCATTTATATTTCAAAACTTATACTACCAATTATGCCTATTTCAATTGTTCCTACAAAATTTGGAAACATTCTTTATCCATAAAGAGGAAGGAAAGGAAATGGGAACAAAAAAAAAAAAAAAAAAAGAAATATAGTAGGAAATTGTAGTGAAAATTTGTTATTTTCCCCGATTATTCTCTTTTTTCCTTTTTTCAATGCTCTTAGGGGATTATTTACTACAAACAGCGAAAGATTTCACTTCATGTAATTTATTGATAATGTTGGAAGATCATAATTGACGGTATCCTTGAAACATGTCCAAATAACTAAATGAGGAGACGGAAAGTTTAGTTCTTGCCATCTTGAAATTGAGAATAAAGTAAAATGAAAGAGAACATGGCATGGCTCCATCCACCAGGGAATCTTGAAACCATTCTTTAATTAGGAAAAGAACATATATTTTTATACATTTTTTTTATTTTTAATCAAAGTGTATTTTCATTTGATTAGATAACTAAAATTATGGTTCAAACAAGATATTATTTGGATAATAACACAAAACAAATAGAAAATGATTCTCTTTGAAAGAATAAATAAAAAGGGGAAAAGGGAATGACATCCACCTCAATTAATGGTGTCAACAACTCCAATAAAATACCCATCCCCTCCAAATTGAGCAATGCCACGTAGAATCTCCATCTTCTCTAACTTGAGAGACGCCAATAATAACTCCGTCCCCTTGATCTTGAGGGATGCTAACAATAACTCCTTTTCCTTCAAATCGGGGAACCCTAGTAGCTCATTCCCCTCCAAATTGAGCAACACCAATAGTATATTCATTCCCTTTAACTTTAAAGATGGCAACAATAGTTCCATCTCCTCTATCTTGAGGGACGTTGACAATTGTTCTTTCCCCTCCAACTAGGGGGATGCTAGTAGCTCCTCCCCTATAACTTGAGAGACAACAACAATAGCTCCATCCTCTCTATCTTGAAGGACGTTAACAATAGCTCCTCCCACTCAAATTAGAAGGACTCCACCATCCGTATCCCCTTTTAAAAAAAAATCAAATTGAATAAAAATTATTATAGTAGTTAATATTTTAGAATCAAGAAGTTACGATAAAATCACTTCATGTCACATAGTTTTACAAGCATGTAGTTAAAAAAATTATCATCTTCACACTCCTTTCTATTACAATAGAAGTTAATTATATCAATAACCTCATTTTATTTTATTTTTCTAAAATTTTGAAATCTCTACGAAGTTGGATTGAATATCTTCTATAATCTTTAAAGAAGAAAACCTAAAAATGCAGTTATGAGATAAACGACGATGGGATTTCATCTTTAGCTCAAGCGAGTTAAGGGATGCCAACAACTTCTTCTCCTTTATCTCAAGTGGTTAAGGGATGCTAACACTATTTGTTTTGCTACCACCATTGGAAGTAGGAATCAATTTTCTCTTTTGTTTGAAGTAACAAATATCCCTCTTGAATATCACCGAGTTAAGTTTTTTAAAATAGAAACCGCATCGCACAAACAACATCACTCCAAATAAATAAATAAGTAAAAATTGAAAAAAAGTATAGTACAAAATTATAACTAAAAGTTAGCTCAAGTCCACATGTGGTTCATGTTTGATCCAAGCAATAAAAATTTATGTCTTTTTGTAGACAAGAGGTAGATGGTTTGTGAGTACAATTTTCTAGTTAGTCGCTTTTGATTGTGTGCTCCATGTTCTATTAGGTGTGATGGTTAGGCTTTTACAATAAGATAGGACTCTTAGAAGCAAACCTATCCCATAGCTTTCCTCACATTACAATAGAAAAATAAAAATCAATCTATCCTTAAAATAGCCTCCCACACATACAACATGTTCTTAGCACTAAACGACCATGAATCCAAACCTAGAATAGCCCTCGAAGTTTTCTTAAAAAATTAAAAAATTTAACGAAGTATGGTTGAAAGAATTCCCACCACTTTGCTTTTTTATATTCCATGGATAAATCACTCACCAAATTATTTTCAAACTCATGGTGCTAAGGCATGAAAATTCTAGCCATTCTACTTCCTCAACTACCATCAATATAACTTTAGTTTAATCTTTAATTAGATGATCGACACGTAAAATGTTTGTGTGTTGCGGTTTCAAGGATAACAAAACATTAAATGTGAGTGAAACCGTGTCAATGTCTTTTCCCAATAAAGGGATAAAAGGCACATTCAAAGAGCAACCATGATTGGTCATAATGCCTTGATATAATTCAAACCTATTGTCCTTATTGATAAGAAAGTTCAAATGGTGAGAAATCTGCAAATAAGAAAAACAATTTGCTAGCACAATTTCAATAATTCAAAAAATACTAAAATAAAATAGTTATATTCCAAATCTATCAAACCATAAATCATGTGTGACAAAAGCCAATTATAACTACAAATAGGCATTTAAATTTCAAAACTTCTACTACCAATTAAGCCAATTTCAAGCTGTTCCTATAAAATTTGAAAACATCATTTATCCATAAAGAGGAGGGATGGGAAATGGGAACAAAAAAAAAAAAAAAAAAAGGAATGTAGTAGGATACTATAGTGAAAAAAAAAAATTTCCTTGTTGTTCTCTTTTTTTCATTGTTCTTTGGGGATTACTTGCTACAAGCGACAAAAGATATCACTGTCCGTATTTTATTGATAGTGGTGGAAGATCGTAATTGACGAGTCTCCTTGAAACATGTCCAAATAACTAAAAGAGAAGACTCGAAAGTTTAGTTCTTGCCACCTAAAAATTAAGACTAAAGTAACATGAAAGAGAACATGACATGGCTCCATCCACCAAGGAATCCCGAAATCGTTGTTTAACTAGAAATGAGATCTATATTTTTCTATGCTTTTTTATTTTTAGTCAAAGTGTATTTTCATGTGATTATATAATTAAGATTATTTTTGAAACAAGATATTATCTGGATAATAACATAAAACAAAAAGAAAATGATTCTCTTTGAAAAAATAAATAAAAACAAAAAAAAGGAAAAGGCATCCACCTCAATTAACGATGTCAATAGCTCCAATAACATATTCATCCCCTCCAAATTGAGGAATGACCGTAGCATCTCCATCTTTTTAAACTTGAGAGATGCCAACAACAACTCTATCCCCTTTATCTTGAGGGATGCAAACAACTCCTTTTTCCTTCAAATTAAAAGACCCCGATAGACTGCTTTCTCTCCAAATTGAGCAATACCAATAGTATCTTCATCTCCTCTAACTTGACAGAGTAAACAATAGTTCCATCTCCTCTATCTTGATGGATGCTAACAATAGTTCTTTCCCTTCCAACTAGAGGGACACTAGTAGCTCCTTCCCCTCCAACTTGAGAGACACCAACAATAGCTCCATCCCCTCATCTTGAGGGACACTAATAACGACTCCTTCCCTCCAACTAGAAGGACTCCACCATCTCCATACTAACAAAAAAAAATCAAATTGAATAAAAATTATTGTAGTAGCTAATATTTTAGAATGAAGTAATTACTCGTCAAATCACTTCATGTCATATAGTTTAACAGACATTTAATTAAAAAAGTTATCATCTTCATACTACTTTCTATTACAATAAGAGTTAATTATATCAACAACCTCATTCTAATTTTTTTATCTAAAAATTTTGAAATCTCTATGAGGTTAGATTGAATATCTTTCATAGTCTTCAAAGAAGAAAACCTAAAAATGAGGATATGAGGGAAACGATGATGGGATTTCATCTTTAGCTCAAGCGGTTAAGGGACGCCAATAACTTCTTCCCATTTATCTCTAGTTAAGGGATGCTAACATTATTTGTTTATCTACCACCGATGGAAGCAAGAATCAACTTTCCCCTCTTGTTTGAAGTAACAAATATCCCCTTTGAATATCACAAGCCAATTTTTTTTTACATAAAACTCCATCGCACAAACAACCTCACTCCAAATAAATAAATAGATAAGAAAAAATTAAAAAATATATATATTGTATAAAAGTATAACAAAAACTTGGCTCAAGTCTACATGTGGTTCATGTTTGATCCAAACAACAAAAATTTATGTCTTTTTGTACACAAAAGGCATATAGTTTGTGAGTAAAATTTTCTAGTTAGTAGCTTTTGATTGTGTGCTCCATGTTCTCTTAGGTGAGATGGTTAAGTTTTTACACTCGGATGGGACTCCTAGAAGCAAACCTATCCCATAGCTTTCCTCACATTACGGTAAAAAAAAAAAAATCAATCTAGTCTTAAAATAGCCTCCCACACATACAACATGTTCATAGCACTAAACGAGCCTAAATCCGGACCTAGAACAACCCTTTAATCTATCTTTAAAAAATAGAAACACTTGTCAAAAAATTTGACGGAAGTATGGTTGGACGAATTCCCACCGCTTTGCGTTTTTATCTTCTACAAAAAAATCACTCACCAAATTGTTTCAATGTCATGGCACTAAAGCATGAAAAAATTTCCTAGCCATTCTACTTCCTCAATTATCATCACCGTAGCTTTAGTTTAATCTTTAATTAGATGATCGACAAGAAAAATGTTTGGGTGTTATAGTTTCAAGGATAGCAAAACACTAAATTTGAGTGAAGTCGTGTCAACGATTTTTTCCCAATAAAAGGATAAAAGACACATTCAAAGAGCAACTATGATTGGTCATGATGCCTTGATATAATTCAATCTTGTTGTCCTTATGGACAAGAAAGTTCGGATGGGGAGAAATCTACAAACAAGAAAAACAATTTGCTAGCACAATTTAAATAATTCAAAAAATACTAAAATGAAACAACTATATTCCAAATCTATCAAACCATAAATCATGTTGATAAAAGCCAATTATAACTACAAATATGCATTTCGTTTCAAAACCTCTACTACCAATGAAGCCAATTTCAATTATTCTTACAAAATTTGGAAAAATCATTTATCTTTAAAGAGGAGGGAAGGGAAATGGGTAAAAAAAAAAAAAGGAATATAGTAGCATACCGTATTGAAAACTTATTTATTTTTCTTTATTATTCTCTTTTTTTCATTGTTCATTGGGGGTTACTTGTTACAAACAACAAAAGATGTCACTATTTACAATATATTGATAATAGTGGAATATCATAATTGATAGTCTCCTTAAAGCATGTCCAAATAACTGAAAGAGGAGACGGAAAGTTTAGTTCTTTCTACCTAAAAATTGAGAATAAAGTAACATGAAAAACAATGACATGGCTCCATCCATCAAGGAATCCCGAAACCATTTTTTAACCGAAAATGGGATGTATATTTTAGATGCTTTTTTATTTTCAATCAAAGTGTATTTTTAGTCAAAATTATAACTAAAAGTTGGCTCAAGTTCACATGTGGTTCATGTTTGATCCGGACAACAAAACTTTATGTCTTTTTGTAGACAAGAGATAAATTATAACTAAAAGTTGTCTTTTTGTATTTCCAGTTAGTTACTTTTGATTGTGTGCTCCATGTTCTCTTAGGTGTGATGGTTAGGTTTTTACACTAAGATGGGACTCCTACAAGCAAACCTATCTCATAACTTTCATCATATTATAGTATAAAAAAAAAATCTAGCCTTACAATAGCCTCCCACATATACAACATGTTCAAAGCACTAAACGACCCTAAATCAAGACCTAGAACAACCCTCTAAGCTATCTAAAAAAATTGAAAAACTTATCAAAAAAAATTTCGAAGTATGGTTGGATGAATTCCCACCACTTCGCCTTTTTATCTTCCATGAACAAATCACTTGCCAAATTATTTTCAAAGTCATGGCGCTAAAGCATTAAAAAATGTTCCAGCTTGTTCTCCTT